CCGCCGCTCTGCCCCGGGGGGCCAGCAGAGCCATTTGGGGAGCGGGGCCCGCCCAGCCAGCGCCCGACCCGGACCCCGGCGGCTCCGGGGGTGCTGTTCGGCCTGCTCCCCGTGCCGTGTCCCGGAGAGGGCCTTCCGCACGCGACATCCCGGGAATGGACAGCACAGACAGCACAAGTGCAAAAGAGAGACCCCAGTAGAGGTGTGCCTGCTGCACCTTGCTGGAGGAGGTCTCGGGATTCGACCCCAACGTTCAACTGTCAGTTCGTCTAATTAAATTCTGTAAAATGGAGAAACACAAGCAAGCCATTATCTTTTCAAAACGTAAATACATTTAAAAAACAGCAAAGGGAAATTTGATAATTGCATAATGATAAATTCCAGTAATTTACACCATTTACACTTTTTAGAGGCAGCAACTGCTAGCTGAATCAGTCTTGCAACAAAATACAATGTTAGCGTTTGTATGGGTTCTGTGGTGGGATTTTTTTTAGTGGTGAAGGCCATAAATTACAGGCCTTTATTCCTGTGAGTAATAGATGATCTTAAATATCCAGAGCATTTATTGTTGGGGAGAACATAGCATTAAATTCCTATTGCAACACCTTTTAATTTCATTACTGGACTTAAAATTGTAGCACACCCAACACAGTTAACTTTCAGAGCCAAAGATGTATATCTCCAAAGGGATGTATCCCTGACAGGAGGTATGTCACAACAATTTCCTGCAAAGACATATAACAATGGCTCTTCCCAACCATGTGCAAACATCTCTAGAAAACAGTGGACTGAGGCCTCAACCACCCTTCTTAGATCATATAATTTTTTCAGTTTTGAAACTCTCTTCCCTGGATACCTTGATTCAGTTCCCAAATGAAATGCATTTACCTTTGTACAATACATAAAAGGGCTGTTCTCGTAAATCTCCATAAGATGTAAACTTCATCCGGAAGTGATTTTAATATGATCTTTAAATGATATCCTCTGCCTCCCCACAATACGGGTAGCTCTCCACTTTCCCTCCTTATAACAGAGGTTTCATTTTGAGCTTACAGTACAGTTTGATATAGCACCTTGTTAACATTCATGATTAATGATGAGTTATATCTCCACAGTGTTGTATCCCTGATGAGGGATTCTCTGGGAAGGTTTCCTTGAAGGGGCACCCGACAGTGATAAATGAGGGCAACATCCATGGGAACATTCACACTGTTCCCATAAGCACGTAGGACAGAGTGGACTGAAGTCTGAATCACCTTTCGAGGATCAATTATCATTTTCCTGGGATTGAAAACGTCTTTCCTGTCAGGCTCTCTGTGAACATGCTGTAATATATTAACACCAGGCACAGTATTCCAGGACGAAATGTTGAACACGTGAGTAGATACGGTTTGGGGGAAGATATGGTTCTCAAAGAGGAAAACGCCAGTCCCTGGGTTTTCCTCCTGAAGACTGCTCATCATTGTTTTCCAGTCCGGGTGCTTAAGGGGAAGAATTATTTCATCAGCATCATTAAGAACCACAAACTTGCTCCTCTGCATGTTACGGTATATACAGTCATTTAGAGCTGTGATTTGTCCATAGTAGCCAATGTCTTTTGCATCCATAGAAAAGTGCCATTTAGAGGAAACCTTGAGGTGTGAGTTTATTGGCCAGGGAACTATCTCTACAGTTCCTTCTTCCATATAAAACTTCAAGACTTTCTCCATCAGATGGCTGCAGTTGTTCTTATAGATCACCACTTTCTGTGCCCCAAGAATCTTGTACATTTCCATACTCTGTATAAACTGCAAGACGTTGTTGTAATTTCCAAACATGGCAGAGATGCATACAGTGAAGTCAACAGAAAAGGTCTCAGCCTTGCGGTTTTTAATTTCAAACCTTGGCAGCTGCTCAGTATCTCCATGTGGAGACTGATGAATTGATACATGTGTTGGATCGCAGTTTTTGGGTTCCAAACAAACTATATCTGTTGCACCATAAGGGAATCCAAATCTATCTGAGTGAACATCAATGTTTGCTTTTGATACATATACCTTTCCATCAGGCTGACAGCAGAACCAGCAGTATAGTTGTTTTACATCTTCATGGTGAACAATCCCAATCACACGAGTGACTTTGCTCTCTCTGTCATCAAAGTATGGGGATATAATAAAAGTTCTGTTATCTTCTAATGCTGTTATTGCAGTTTGAACAGGTTTTCCCCTACAAAGCTGAGCTGCCGGACTGGCAGTTGTTGCCTGGGGGAAGATTTTTCTAGTTATGTTATTCTGTAGCTGAGGATCTTTCCAGGAGCAGATTAAAAAGCTTGCAAAAATAAGAATACATGCAACAACAGCACAAATATGTTTTTTTCCACAGTGCATCATTGCTGAATTTCACAATTTGGAACTTAACAGACCTTTACACTCAGTCGTCTATTCACTTCCTCTAAAACAAAACAAACACACAAAAAAGCACTCTTTCAGTGATTTGCCAAAAATAAGTAATGTTTTCTATTGAACTATATTCTCTTAAATGCAATAGTTACTGTTGTGATACTTCAAACTTTAGTATGAAGACCTGACTTTTCATACAGGTTTGGAAAAAATGGAGAGATTCTTTTACACCTTCTCATTCCTAACTCTATTATATTTTACTCTACAATTGGGCCCAGTGCAACAGTTTCAGCTGTTTTGGTATACAGTAATGGTAATATAGTGTAATTTGAATCACTTTGAGGTCTGGAAGAAATTTTATGTTAGTGAAAACCCACATTCTTTATCTTTTGATATTCTGAGAAGCTTGTAAAACTATAGAGTTATCCTTTCCCCTCTTCTTCCTAAAAAAGGTGCTGTGAATGTAAATTCAAACTGCATTCTTTTCTATTGGGTAGGATTAATCCTGTCACAGTGTCTCATTGTTCTGATGCCCAAGTCATAAAGAAAATGTTTTCAGAGCCTTGTGTGTTTTCAGAGCTTAGTAGGATCCTATGGTATTCAACATTATCTAGGAAAAGAGGTTTGAAAAGAATGACCTTTTCACTTGTTCAGGTGGCTAAGATTACCTTAAATGTAAATTGCTTTTGCCATTAAAGTTGCCAAGTCTTAGACCACAGTTCTAAATTGGCAGTTGCTTTCAGTAGGACTTTGGGTGAATATTGTGACCCTTCATCGGGACTACATGCACCACTGAACTTTTTAACCTTGCTATGGAAGCTTCAAGTTCTCCAAGATGTTACCAAAACAGACTACAAAGTGAAGATTTTCAGTATACAATCACAGCTTGGTATTTACACATGCTTAAACCATCAAGCAGATGGAAGGCAAATTAAAACAAAACCAAACTAAACCAAACCTTGCTTTATTCTATGAGCAGCCATGAGGGTGTCATATAATGTGACACATCAGAAGAACACATCAGAACAATTAGCCATTATCTGTACCTTTTGTAGGTGTTCTGTCCTCTTTTGTATACACTCAATCTCAGCTGAATGACAACCACTTTCTAATTATGCACAGAATTGCCACTTTAGTTACAGCTCTATTCTGACTTCAGAGTACTAGGTTTGAAGAACATGATGAAAGCACTGCTGCCTGGTGTAATTTGCAAATCCAAGATGTTGCTCAACTGTTCTTTTTCATTTTTGACCTCAAAAAATATAAGTTATTTTGAACAATGTATAATGACCCATTCTCTAAAGTTAAAATTTTGTGTTGCTTTCTAAGCTGTAAATCTTCCCCTTTCATGCAAGTAATGGTATTGACCAATTTTAAGATTACACTGCATGTGCAGAATAGTTTTTCTAATATGCTCACAAAGATTAAAGTCACTCAGTTCTGCAGATGTCTCCTCATCTGCTTTAAATACTTCTAATATTGCCTTCTCAATTAACCAGTAAAATTCAAATATGCATTTATTTTATTTTGCAAATATGCAATATGCATTGGAGAAGAGGAGACTGAGGGGAAATCTCATCGCGGTCTACAGCTTTCTCACAAGGGGAAGAGGAGGGCAGGTGCTGATCTCTTCTCCCTGACGACCAATGATGAGACCCGAGAGAACGGCAGGAAGATATGCCAGGGGAGGTTTAGGTTGGGCATTAGGAAAAGGTTCTTCCCCCGGAGGGTGGGGGAGCACTGGAACAGGCTCCCCTGAGAGGTAGTTACAGTGCCAAGCCTGACAATATGCAAGAAGCATTTGGACAATGCCCTCAGACACATGGTGTGAATTTTGGGGTTGTCCTATGCAGGGACAGGAGTTGGACTCGATGATCCTTGTGGGTCCCTTCCAACTCAGGACATTCTATGATTTTGTCATTAGCTCACTGGTAGCTAAGCAGGACCTTGCAAGTGATATTTGCATAGAAAAGATGACACTATGTATAAAAGTAGAGTTGCATCATCAGTTATCAGCTTGCACCAAAGTTCTTCAAATACCTATTGTTATTCCTATTTTGGGATTAGAAGCCATTTACAGTTACTAACATGCTGTCTATTAGAAAACTAAGAGAAAATATTTTAGCGTGAAGTGGTTTTTTTCATAAGTATTAATTGGGAAGTGGGATTGAAACATGCTTACAGAAAACTTCAGGGGAAAAACAAAAACACAAAATAAAAAGAAGCCAACAACAACATGGAAGAATACTCAGTTCAAGTTCTAGTTCTTGGTTTTTAACCACAATTGCTTTTATTTTCCCTTTTTTTTTTTTTTTTCCCCTCTCTCCCCACTTTGGAGGTGGGATTCAGCTGTCAGTGTTCTCTTCGAAGAAATCCACAGAATTCTTCGCAGAGATGGGAGTAGGTCTGAAGATCGAGAGGCATGTAAGAAGGACAGAGGACAGGAGCTTCAGTGAAGTTGTAAAAGTAGTTTATAGGTCCAATCTTCCCATCCAAGAGAACAATAAAGTGACCGAGGAAGGTAAAGAAAATCAGAGTCCTGATATAAACTTTTCTGGGGAGGATGATTTACTGCATAAGAGATGGGACAAATTTACAAAAGGGTGAGATGAAACAAAGCACTAATAAAGTTCCTCATCGTTAATGTCTGTCACGTTTATTTACAGAAATGCAAGGTCCGGGGTTTTTTTTTTTTGATACAGATGCAAAGTGCAAAAATCATTAGAGTGTTCTGGTGAAATATGTTTTCAACTGTCAGTCTTATACCAGG